GTTCATTACCTGGACAGCAACGGCACTCTGGGCATGGGCGAGAACATATCCTAAGACAGACAGAATGAATTGCTCTCTGGAAATACCTCTCTCTCTGGTCTCCTCTAGTAAATGGGACTAAGGAGGAGTCTAGACTACCAGTTCATATCAGAAACAAACCTTACACAGCTAAACTTAACTGAGATGAATCTCTCCAAAGAGTTATTGTAGATTAATATGAAAAACAGTAAGTGTTTTTGAAGATAATAAAAAGCTAAAGTAAACTATCCATAAAACTATGTCACATATAATAAAAGATATAATCAACAATACTCTATAGACCGACTGGAACATAAACAGTATAAGCTCTATCTCTAGGATTCAGCTTGTTTCCAGACAGCACACATTTTTTACAAAACAGCACAACACGCCATCATTTGCAACCTATCTAGGAAACATGATACTGATAACATGCTATGTTTTGTCTTCCGAGCATTGTTCAAAACCTCCTGATGCAAGTAATGTAAACAAAATTCTGTAAATACTCATTCCATAATTATCTCATTTTTAGTAAAATAAGTATTCACTATTATCTGAAAAAGTATGTTTTTATCTGATGTGTGCTGTAAGACTGCATATATAATTTGGTCAAATCAATAACACAGAAATTAAGTTTGTATCAAACTAGTCTTTATAGAAATTTAAAAAAAAAATGAATTACTACATCTGGTTTTTTTGCACTCCATCAGATTAACGCAAGCAAAATGAAACTTGCAAGAAAATACAAATATATTAAACACTGTAATTAATTAGAAAATACAAATATTGTTACATCTCAAACAAAAAAAAACCAAAAAACATTGTAAAATATTTTCATGAAATAGAACAATAAATTCCTGGTATGTGAAAGTCTGAAAGTTACACTTATTCAGATCCCAGGATGCATACAACTGCTTCTCAAGCATAAATGTGCTTGTACGGAATATATTGTTCTCCGAAGTGAGGAGAGCGCTCTATTTCATTAAAGTTAAAACCAGATGCAAACTGAAATGAGAGCAAAATAATAGCTTGCACTATCAGATTCTTACAAGAAGTTGCTGAATATGTAATATGGGGATGCAGTCAAAAAATTAGACATGTTATGAAAAGGCTTTATTTAGATGCTCACTGAAACTGGCAAGAAATAGCACATATATACTCCATGTATTAAATGTGCAAGTTATTTTCTTTCGAGAGCAAATGCAAAATGGTTGATAATGATATACAAAGCCATAAAGAGCCAACCGCTACTCCTACAAAAAAGGGTCATTTCTTATTGCCTTCTACAACTGTAGTCAGCTGATAAACGCTTGCCAAAAATAGATCCCGGAGCTATCCTCAACAAAATGAGTCTTTTTCCCAGACTGCTCTGACACATTTCCTATTTCTTAGTTCCCATGACAAGTGGCTGAGCTTTTTGGCTAAACTATGACCTGAGTGTTTATATTTACAGTCTATACATAAAATAAGGGCATGAACAGCAGGGAAGGGATAAAGCTGCTTATGGTAAGAACGACAATGACAAACAGGATAGGAAGCAGTTTATGGATTTACTACAATCCCTTATATATATATATATACACACACATATACATATATATAGACACACATATACATATATATATATATATATATATATATACTGCCTCTGCAATTCCTATAGGGAGACTTTTCCATAATCACACAGCTCTAATGATTGGAAATATTCTGTAGAGTGACAGCTTACATTCAGTCACTTACATCCATTATTTTTGTCTTTTAGGTTAAACACTTCTCCTCCAGTGTGTACTCTCATTAGATATTTATAAACAACAATCTTTTTTGCTCTCAGACTCTCTTCTACAAAATTAATGTACCACATCCGTTTTTGGTCTTATCTCACAAAGGCTCCTTATGCTCCAGTCAGCTTAATATCACTCCCCAAGAACAGTCCAGTATGACTTCATATTTCTTGAATGTCTGCATCCAAAATTGTATACAAATATCCAGGGTTTTGAGAATGGTATTGATGCTTCTTTCTTTCATTAAGACTGCATAGGCCACTTTTACTGCCATATGACACTCCTGAGTCACAGAAAAACAAGTCTATGTCACTTCCAGCAATGTACCCTCATTCTGTAGTAGAAAATTCTTAGCAGTTCCTAAGTGCATGACTTGAATTTTGTTGTATTAAATGTTATCTCACGTCTACTATCATTTTCAAAATCATCTCATTCTCCCTGCACGACAGTCCAGCCTCCTCCCAGCCTCTTGTTGTCTGCAAAGTTAGGGGATTTTATATTTATTTCTACTTTAACACAAGTCACTACAAATGTATCCTGAATTTTGACTGCATACTAGCAGGTTTGATGGTTCAGAGATATGCTTTTTTCACACCATCCTCCTAAAACTTCTTTCAGCCCATGAAATTAACACAGCAAAAACAGTTTAGCTATTTTCATTGTGCTGTTGTCCATGGAAACACAGCTTATCCTTAACATAATGATACAAACATGCTCTGTACTATATTATTGCCCTGATTCATTTCATGTAGTTACCTCATTATTTTATATGGGATGCATCCCCTATAAATTTCCTCCCACTCAGCAAAACTTCTCATTCTAGACTGTGAATTGGTCATCGTTCCACCTGAAACAGGGCTGTATCGGGGCAGTTATACCGATGAGATTTCAGTATTTCTGTCATGATGGTGGGATTAGCACTCTAATTTGAAATGCACGTGAAGAGGGAGGAAAAAAGAAGAAAAAAGTAACTAGTCAAAGGAAGATATCCTGCAAAATCCATGCACATTACTCTCAACCTCTACCTATCTCTATTCAGGCAATCAAGCTACAACCAGCTTTCTACCACAATCACTCCCCCCAGGATTTCTCTTCAGATTCTACAGACTCCGTTTTGCCTCCTCCTCATCCCACATGCTTCTTGCTGCGTGGACTTCCGGCATTTCCAGACTACTCTTTGGCTTGTTGCACCTCCAGCTTTCATAGTTTCCTGACCATCACAACCTGACTACTCTCATCTCGCCTTTCAAATTGATGCTTACCCTGGCTTCTCCACTCCCTGACTTCAATTCAGCCCCCATCATGGCAACCTGATAAAAGCACTGAGCGACGAATGAAAACTTGCACTTGGTCTTGCACTTGAGAGCCCCTGACTTCAAGGAATTGACTAAACCAAGACAGAAATAGAAGTCAGGGGAAAATAAGCAGGGAGAACCACAATTTTTAAAGAGGATCTGAGAGGGGACAATAAAAAAGATGAGGAAGAACGCACAGCCAGAAAGAGAATAATCTGTTCTAATCTGGATTTAAAAATGAGATGGAAAGACGAGAAAGGCAGGCCAAACAGATGAATGTAATGTCCTTAAGTCCCATACTGAAAGCAGACGTTTCAGCCCTTCAGTTTGGGGCAGCTCTACCTCACAGGGATGATGCTGATTAAGTTAAGGAAAATCCTCCAGAAATTCATAAATTAGGTAGTATCCTATTTTAAAGAGTGAAAGAACAAGGAAAGTTAAAAAAAAAAACAAACCAAACCAAAACAAAAAAAAACAGGAAACATTAAGAACATGAATGCAGAGCAATGATAGAACCTGACAGGGAAGGAAGGAAAAATTAGATAGAGAATACAAGAAAAGAACAAAATTTTGAACAATAAGAGGGGAATAATACATTGAAAACATTTTCATCACATAAAAACTACCAACAGAAAGGGGTAAGTACTTCTGTCTTCACTTAGCCCAAAAATGCACTTACTTACCTTTTCAAACGCATAAGACAAATATTTATATCGAATTTTTATTGCCTCAATCTAAGCACTACACATAAAGTCACATTAGAGACTAGTGCCTGGGAGCAGACACCAGTTTCTGGATGATACCCAATACGAACACAGAGATTCTGGACAAGAAGATAACATTTATTTTCTGTGATAATTTTTTTTAGTTTTTAAACTAAATATCGAGATTAGTTGGCTACTGCGTATATGCCTTCCCCCTTCCTACAGCCAAATAATCACTGTGCATTTTTACTCGCTATCAGTGAAGAATGGCCTCTAATAACAGCAATAAGGAATAGCAATGCTGACAATTAAGCAGCTATAAAATCATAGCAATTTAGCGGTTATAAGAACAATCATGGCAAAGTAGTTACTTGTCCTCTCTCCATGTGAGCTGACTCTTATTTCTCCATTAACAGCTTTACACGTTTTCATCAGGACAAGAATCATGGGTCAGCGTGACACTGAAAATCCATTTCCTAAATTCTCCTATTAACCCTACTCAGAAAATTAGTGTAACATTTTTAATTTTTATCCTGAAACAAGAAATCTGAGCTAATAAGCAAAGGTAGAAAATCTGAACAAAATGCCATTGACTTTCAATCAAGCCACTGCCTTATACTTCAGTAAGTGGCTTACATCCAGACAAATAATTCATCTTAGTTTACCAAAGAGGGTGAAATGTTTCATAATTAAAAGCTGACAACAGTTACGGAAAGCAAAAGAATGCAATGGATTTATATTCAGAATAGAATAAAACGTTCCTCTTCCCCTCCACAAAATCCCAGCAATATCTTTTGTTAGTACTATATAGATGTTTAGGAGAAAAAAATAAATCCACGCTTGGAGGTAACAACTGCTAGGCTCTTTGTTCAATATATTCTTTAATAACACTAAAAGGCACTGATTGCTGCAATTTCTCTAATAATATGTGTGCTATTCATATTATAGGACAGCATAAGGAAAATGGAAAAGTGATCAAAACTGGTAATTTTTAGCCAGTATGCTTTGTCCCACAAATCAAAATCTCCAAACTACTATGGAATAAAAGCCTATATTTAATTAAACAAAGAAACTTACAAACACCCTTCTGGTAAGATGTTTGTGACCAAGACTTTTAAGGAGCACATTAGCAGGGCTTGAGAATGTAACACTGGTATTTAAAATTCCAGTGATCAAAAATACAAAGGAAATACAATACCTACCTATATCGTACGCAAGAAAGTCAGCAGAAAAACACTTTGCACCATTACTCAGGGAAGTATCGTTATGAGTGTTTCCACCAAAAATGAGCATAGCTCCATTGATTAAGACAGCTGAATGAAGATACCTTGCAAAACCACTCTCTTTCAAAATAGTCCTGCAAAATATGAGAATAAATCAATACATACTAACGTAAAAAGTCATATATATCTGAAGAATTTTATAGACAGAAACAATATCTAAGACAAGGAAAACACTAAACTAAAGCAACAATTCAATAAATATGATGGAATATATTCTGACTGTTTCTGAGACTATGAATTTCTGCATGTCATATATATTCAGCATCCAATTAAAAGGCTAAGCTTTCTGTGAAAAAAATCTATTTGTCAAATGGCTTATCTGAAATAAACATCAGGTTTACGTTCTTCAGAAGAGATTAATCACGTGGTAAATGTTAATGAAAATTAAATGAAAATCTCCGTATATATTCATCCTTATTCTTATATAGCCCTTATATAATTTTTGCTCAATAAATGTAATAAAACTTTTTAGAAGGCTGAAAGAATGCTTAGCCCACGCAAAGTTTTGGAAAAGGAGAAACATTTTTATTGGGACACTCGGACCTGGAAAAGAAATGGAAAAGAAAGAGCAGACATCATTCTAGTTAGGATGAAAACATGTGCCCTGCTTCGTAGATGTTCTCAGGTTGCCAGATTCAAACATCCAGAATTTCACTTCAAAGAACAACCCACCAATGTATAGAGTATCGTTTGTCTTTGATCCTTTTTCATGTGGTCTGTTTGTGTCAGGGAAATGACATGGGCCCAATAGCAGCCAAGGGCTATTTGTACTCGATTGGTCTACTACCAGACATATATGGAGCTAGCAAAAAGAACAAAATATACACTCGATTTGGTCATGGCAAATATATGTCACCAAGGGAGAGAGTAAACATTTGTATTTTTTCCAACTTGAATCATTCAAGTAGAACAACTGTAGACACCTTTGTAGAGAGCTGCTTAGACCACAGTGCAGACTATTGTTTACATTCCTCAGCTAATAATCATCTACTCATCTCACTAATCAAACAGTGTTCACGATCAGATTCTCACTTTCACTTGTGTGATTACACACTGCTTACATATGCAATTAAACTGTTTTGTCATTCATTTTCCATAATAAACATCCTGACTTGATTATGTTTCCCCCTGACTGGTCTCTGTTGAGTCACACTGATAGTATTCAGTTCAACATTTTCACATTATTCAAGGTTTGGGGGTGGGGGAGTTTAAACTGTCTCATTGTTTTGATATAATGATCTCAATAAATTAATAAACTACAGAGATTTTCAAAAATGATAAGAGGTTTGTATGCTCAAATAAGCTGAGAGGAAGGCCCTAAACCTGAGATCATATATTGTTATTCAAACATATTGCTCCCTCTACAAAGTAACATCAATGGAAACACCAAAGACTAAGCAATTATGTTTCTTTTACTCCTAAAAAAAAAAAAAAAGAAAGCAATAAATCATTCAAGCCACCAACACACCCACTTTGTCCAATGTGCTTATGTTTTTAACCCCCTATACTGTGGGGGTTTTTTTTGTCTTTTTTTGTTTTTTAAATTGGGTGGATTTTTGCTGTTACTTCTGATAAATATACTTTGAAAACAGAGCACCACATAAAGTTCTTTTTCTAAACAAGAATTAGCCTGGTATAAGAATAGTTATGGTACCTGGCTGTGAGAACATGAAATTTAGTTTCAAATCATGATACTTATACAAAAATAGCAATAGCAAGAGAAAAAGCAAGGAACTATTTTAACAGTTATTTTCAGTTAGTAATGGAGGAATACTGTTATGAGTGAAAAGTGATAACATACTGAAAAGATATTGTCCTTAAAAGCGTTGACTATTCATTTCTCCCAAGTCTTTTGCTGTACCAGTTTTCTAAATTCCCTGCTTGCTAGTTTATATTAAGCGCTATACCAGACTGTCTTGACTATCCCACCATGCAGCTCTCTGCAAATAGTCTTCTTGCTCACTAAAGGACTAAAATGCTATACACCTTCAGGGGGAAAAAACTAAAGACACTCTTCTCTCCATGCCAAATATATTGGCAATCCCACCAGTTGTTCTTTGGACTTCCACCTGTCAACTGACTGCACAGCCTCAACCCCTGGTCCCCACTCTTTACAGATTTTTTCCCGATTCTTGCCTGTTGTGTGCTTATTTACATTCCTCTGATTCCCAAGATCCCAAGTACTGTTTCCCAAGATTCACCCAGAAGCGGATAAGAGAAATAGAGCACGTGAGAAAAGCAGATTGAGCATGAGAAAGAGAGAGAGAAAAATGGAGCAAGTCCTATACAGAGAGAGGTAGCCGTTGTGATTCCACCTCTGCCACCACAGAAGATAGCACCAAGGCAGTGAGGAATTCCTAATGAGCTGGCTCAGTAAGCATGTTTTGAATACTGATAAGATAATCATAGTAATGAAATCTTCCTACATTTACTCCATGTAATAGAGTGTATTCGTCTCTGTCCTCTCAGCCAGTTTTCAGTCTCACAGTACAATGACTACTATTGTAAGCATATTGACGAAATGAAGATAAAATGCAAGTGCTCTACATGACATAGAGTGCCCTACTAGTATAAGCAGATAGAAACAGTCACTATTAGTTATTAAACTAATAATAATAATATTCTGAGTTATTAATCATTGTATTGAACTGTCCTTCAAAAGATGCAATATCACTGCTCCCAGAGTAGAAAAATACCACAAGCTATTAGTAAGTATAATAAGAGAGTATCGTGATTCTAGCAATTTAAAAATAGATAAAAAGGAATGAAAAATGCTTCTATTCGTGCCGCCAACTGCCATGAGCCAGTGGCATTTGAAATAAAAACTCTCAGTGAAATCAAAATCACATATTTCCAATAATCTGACTTGAGAATAAGTCTTAGGTGCTTAAAGTTAGGTCATTAGTGCTCAAGGCAAATATTAAGTTGCAAGAATAAAATGTTCTGAGAGATATATCTTGATCTCAAAACATCTCTAAGGTAAGAAAAATTAAAGGTCAGTTTGTATATATAACACTAAGTAGCATTCCTAAATTACAGTAAATTTGAGGAACATGAAACTGACAAATAGAAACACCAAGCTGTCAAAAATATATTTATATATTCTGTTAGTAACAAAGGATCCGTATACCAAAAGCAAGAGGAATTTCTTCTTTTTTCATATATTTTTGTGAAAATGTCTTTCCAGAGTTCTAAGATTTTGAGGCTTGTTTATATCTTAATATGTACAAAAGTGCACATAAGCCATATCTTCATACCATATGGAAACACTACACGTTATGGATGCAATCCTGGGCAATATGCTCTAGATGACCCTGCTTGAGCAGGGGGGTTGGATTAGATGATCTCCAGAGGTCCCTTCCAACCTTGGCCATTCTGTGATTCTGTGATTTTTGCACAGTGGTTATCTGTGGATAGGAGAATCTTTTCTTAATTTGTACAACATGCAACAAGCTTCCTCTCTGCCACTCCTTCACTGGGTAGCTCCACTAATGAGCTGGATAGTGCCTACTCTCTCACAACAATTTTCCTGTTGTGTTGCAGAGTATGCACTGTTCTGCAACATGCAAACAGTATGGAGCTGCCTATGTGATTTCACTGGAACCTTACTTTTTAGTTGCATTTTTTTTGCCATGACAAATAATTTTTCTTTTTTGCTCTTTCACTTAGTTTCCTGTACTACAAACTCTACTTACCATGTCCTAGTGTTAACTTCATATCTGTAAAGATCATCCACCAATCCATATTTATTGCCAGGTAATGCTTTGTATCCACCATGGACATAAATAGATTTTGTCAGTTCATCATAGACACTTGTATGACCATATCCACCTTGCACAATTGCTCCTTTAGTTTCTGGTACAAGCCAAGAATTAGACCCTGAAATAGATGTATAAAACACAGATTTAAGGCTCAGTATTGCTAACATACAGTACTGGAAGAATATGTAAAATAGGTCATTATTGCTATAAACCTAAATACATCAACGACAAGGGACTCCCTTTAAAGAATAATTTTACACTAATGTATCAAAATATCTGCAACTGGATAACGTTACTAGTCTGTTATCCGCTATTCTTAATCAAATCACAAATACAATGTTAATAAAGAGTTACAGGTACCAGACAGTATCTCATACTCTTCCAAAATTCAACACATGCACAAAAAAAGCACAAAAAAACCCAAATCTTCTGATAAATAGAAAATGAAGAATTAAGATGCATTCTCACTCAACCTTCACTCTGTCCCTCAGGAGGGACAGACAATCTCGGTGCTCAGTTGTGATTGAGCCATTCACAGAAGCATGGCTGAAATAGCACTGTTACAAGCTGTAATCTCACAGAAACATGTAACTTCAGATAGCTGAAAATACACGCTGGATACAGACAGAAATTTTGCTAGTAAACTATTAAAACTATTAAACTAAAACCAGTTTCCAATGACTGTTCATTATATATTAAACTGCAAATACACCTATTCAGTTGCTGTAAACTTCCAAAAGGATAAATATGATAGGAGCTCATTTAGAAGTACACTTGTACTTAAATCCACTTTTTGCATCACATCATTAACATCATTAACAGCCATAAAGAGATACTAAATAAAACTATTCACAATAACCACTCATACTGAAGAATAAAATGAATCTACGTTAAGTGATTTGTCATTCCTTGTGGCCCTCATATTTCCAATTTTCTCCCTGTCTTCCCAACTGATGACATAATGAGTCACCTCAAGAGCCACACAAGAAGGAAGCATTTCCTGTAGAAATCAGCATAATCAAAATTTACAATTTACGTAAGAGGGTTGGTGTCGATACGATAGTGTTACTACAATACGAGGGTTGGCCTGTTGATATACCTTTCTCTCTCCAACTCATCCCCACTCCTTTTTTTTTTTTTTTTTTTTTTTTTAAATATTGGTCAGTCCTAAACACTGGCATATATGCCCGTCAGGAAAAAAACTATTTATCTGCATAAACTTATATGATGATGTTGATTATACGCACAGTAGAGTATTTTGCATTTGTACTTCACTTGTTCGCATAGCATTTAGAATACTTTTACAGTAAAATTGCACATTACATCACTTTACGTGACTTGTGCCGAAATAGCGGAAGACTGTTCCTTCTTGTATAATAAAGAACCTATGCTATGTATAGCTAACTACATTTGAGAAAAGAGATCCAGAGACGTCCCTTTGAAACAAAAGTCAAAAGGAGCATTATAATTTCTATTTCTATTCTAAAATTCTGTTAAGTTGCCTGAACTTCGACACTGAAAAACACAGTATAAACACGTAACTTTGTTTTCTCTTTTGCATTTCTTCAGCATCTCGAATATTGAAATATTCGGTACAAAAAAGGCAGTTTTTGTAGCATTTCTGTCTGAATTTAAACACTTTTCTATGCAGAAGGATCCTTTTTTTTATTTTAACTAGTCACTGATATTGGTCTTCACTCATCAATAAACTGAATTCTTTTTAGGCAAATTCAATTATTCGTGGAGATATTTACATAACTCTGCCTGCACCCAAAGAGATCCCACTTTCTGTGTTGAGATCAGATGAACTACTTCATTGACCAAATCAGTCATGTAAAACCCTGCAAACTCAACAGCTTAAAAACCCAAATTAGCCTAGAATTGACAGATCACTACTCCAGCTTCCTGCTTTATTATAGAAATAGCTCTGCATATGGTTTTTGTTTTTATTTCTCAGGTATAAATCTCATAAATCTAATACAGATTGTAAAAATATGGTCAAATGAATTTTCAAAATCACGTACACACAAAAAAACCCACTACACTTTGACTTGTTTTTACTTTTCACCTGTAATTTGAATGTTATCAATAAATACAATATTGTTCATCAACATTGGGGCAATTTTCCAGAGAATTCTAGACAAGTTACTGTGAAGACTTAAGACAATTAGGTCTGCCACATATTAACTCATGGTCAAAGTTACATGCTGCAATATTCTGGATACTTTCATCAAGCAGAATCAAGCACTACAGGTCCAACTGAGTGATGATCAAGCAAAAATTTAATCATAAAATAAACAGAAATAGGTAGATGGATGGAAATAGGTAGAAAAAGAAATTACAGAAGCAGAACTCAAGGCATTTGATGTATTCCAGGTAGAGCTATAGCTCCGTTCCAAACCTCTGATGCACACGGCATGAGAAACTGCAGGTCCAGTAGTAAGCATTTTAAGCAAAACCCAGTAGATATTACTGAAGAATAGCAGCCACAGTGCAAAGAGAAAGGGGAGGAGAGATATGATCTGGACAATTACCAATCTTAATGTAGCCTCAGAAATATGCAAAGGTTAAGAACAAAGGTGTAAAAAAGTAAAAATAAGTATGTTTAAATAATGGGAAAATACTTTACAGGACAATGTAAGTGTACCGAGCAGTTTACATTACACTTACCTAAAAGCAAACTACCTACACAAGGGAGTACACAAAGTCTCAAGCCTCTGGCCTTCAGCAATGTCCTTAACTATAATGTCACAATGGGAAATCAGTAAATAAACCATAATAACTGAAGGCAATTTGAGCACTGATAAAGAAGCAGCAATGAGCAATACTGAAAGGCACTGGGATTACTAGTGAGACTTCACACAGGATCACAGATAAGAATGACTGCATTTTTTTAACACTATCACAAATTTAAGACATGACGGTGGCGTAAGTTTAGGCACTATCAATTCACAAAAGCAGCAGAGTAACATGCAGAGTGCATTGGATGATCTTGGCTACTGGAAAATCAATCAAAATTCAATAATAACTTAAAGCTATTGTGCATAAGTATTAGCACAAAGATTATGAACTTCCATAAAATGGAAGCTCATCAGCTGGTAAGGACTGAGAAGAATAAGAAGGTGCACTACTTCACTGGAGAAACTCTATGAGCCATTAATGTCATTTTCATGGTCGTATTACAAATGTCATCTTTGTACATCTCAAGTGAGGTGTTCTCAATAAAGTAGGATAACAGTTATTTAGCCAGACACTGGTGAAATCTCACCTGAAATATCTCACAGGCATTTCTAAGCATCCACGTTCAAGAAAGATGAACTCACTGTGGAAGAGGTGCAGAGGTGAACTATTAGCATGACAGAGGAATAGGCGAGGTTACCTTAATTAGTCTAGCAAAAAGGTGGATTGGTATCTATAAATATATGCAAAAAGAGTAAATGCCAGGAAAGGAGATCAGCTGCATACACTGCAACAGTACATAACCTGGAAAACAAATGGATATAAACTAACCACTGAGAAAAGCGGGCTAGGATTTAGATGATACCTAGCCACTAACATGACAAGTCCTGAAATTATCTTCCAGTGATGCTGTAAACAAAAAAATTTTGTAAAAATTGCAGATTTTTGTATTCCATAATAAATCTACTAAAATTCAAAGGTAAGGTACATGCATTGGCCTGACCCTTACTACAGTACAGATTGGGTAAAAGGAAGAAAATATCCAAGAAGCTCATTTCCCACCTTCACTTCGTTACATTGACAATACACTAAATTCTTTCTAGCTACTATGAAGCTTCAGCTAACTTACAAAAAAGAGGAAGTACATGTTACATTATAGAATCATCTCTTTTAATGCTACTTCAAGGAAACATTTCTTTTAAAAGCAACCTACAACCTACTTCTGGAACTGTAAAAATAATTTAAGACTAAAAAAGAAAGTGATACATTGCTAATCTAAACAAATCTGTCTTCCAAAAAAAAGAAAAGAAAGACAAAAGAAAAAAAAAGACTTTCTTAATATTTACATTTATTAATGTAAATTTAGAAAATTTTAGAAAGGCTTTTAGAAACTTCAACTAAAACACCACTAATATTATATTCACCTTCAGACTCACATTGCGATTTTCAGAAGGTTTATGAGGTATTGCTAGCCTAAAGGGAAATAAATTTCCCTGGGGAGTAACCCAGAAAAGCTTTATGGTCCAAGTTAGTAAAACAATTCACATAATTCCCACACCAGGATTTATTGGTTCCTCAAAAGCCATAACTCTGGGCATAGCAAGAAAGGACAATGGGAAGCTCCTTTGCTCTTGCAACAACCACCATACCTTTAGAGCAGAAATGAGTTCCCTTGCTTTCACAAGGTGAAAATCTGGCCGCAGATCATGTCAGATTTTTCTACCACCTATTTGACTTTGATGGAAATCACTTTCTTCACTAGTCTGACAATGTCAGAGAAATTTTTAGACCATGCACACTAGATTAACACGCTTTGTTAAAAAGAACTGCAGAGCACCACACTTCTGTGAAAAGCTAGGGAGTCCAGAAATAATTAAAATATCTTTAGGTGGTTCTTGACGTAAAGCCTGATGAAATCAGAGTCAGAGTACCTCAAGCAGACTTTAGCACCAGATTTCCATATATCATAACATGAGTAGATCAACAGAGGTTTCAATTAATATGAACGAAATGGTATGTTCTACATTGTGCCTGTTTCTTCCAGTATGCCTACTGGAAGAAACTACGTAAATGCTTGAAAAATAGTCTTCATTACAAGTAAGAGCCATGGCTGGTAACACTCCCAATGAATAAAGTAGCACAATGTGAAACGTTACAGCAGTGTTTGCTTTCAAAGCAAGCAGAGAGAGGGACTCAAAGGGACTCTAATTTTTCCTTGTACAAAATCAGAAGCCCTTCTTGATAACTCTGTAACTATGATTCTGTTGGGTTCACAGCAGTACTTCCAGCACTTCCTGCGCCCTCCGAGTTTGGATTCTCAGCTGCTACCTTCCAAAAAAACTAGTTGTTCATAATTTTAACCACCACCCGGAATTTCATAGTTAAAAATGATCCTATAGCTGCAAAACTGTAGATAAATGCTGCACTTGGCACAAAATTGAGGAAAATTTGCCACAAAATTAATTTAACCTTGGGGGAAGGGAACGCGGGAGAGTCAGTGAGGTTAAACATAACACGACAATTATCAACCATGGAAACTGTCCAATTACAGCACATAGACCATGTTCTACAAAGCACTACATGAGCAAATAATCCTTCATTACATGAGTAGATTCACTGAAATCAATGGGTTTCCACAAAAAGATCCTATATTGTTACAATTTTACTTTATATTTAATGCCATAATAAAGCACACTTTCTCCTAAAAACTAAACTTCTCACTAGCATATAATAAAATTATTATGTTGGAAAGGAGACATAAAAAGTTGAGATTAATTTAGATCCACAGCAATTGCCAACAGAGTAAAATGTGCTTTCTCCTACTTAAAGCTTGCAACCATTGATTGAAAAGGATTTTCTGTTTGTTTGGATTTTTTTAAACATGCTTAGTTATAGATAACTGTCTAATTTTTAATAACCCTCCAGAAGTATAGCCTTAACATATTAAGAAAGTTTTCAAATAGAAACAAGTTATACATTACTATAATGTCAGTAATAAAATACTCCACAGAGAGAGAAAATTTTACATTGCAGAGTGAATCGTATGCTCTTCATCCTTTTTTCTTCCCTCTTCACTATTAATCTAATGAATAATACCTAAGAACAATTTTGGTACTTCCACTCCAGACTAAGTAAGAAGCATGTGATATTCAACGCTTTAATAGACATTAAGATGAACAAGCACTCAGAATACTAGAGTAACTTTTCTTTGTTGTTCTTTTTTAAATAAGTCTTCAAGAAAAAAGTTTTTTCTTGAAATGGTCATTAATCCCTTGCCTTAACAAACCTTAAAATATTGTAGAGAAACATCATTCTGGGAAGACTGAATTTTTAAGTTAGTTGCATGCAGTTTTATGAAATTTATCAACGTGGAAAAAGTGTATTGTGGCTCTCTTCCTTCTATTCCCATTCTCTTTTTTCCTTATTCAGCATTGTTACGAATTTTAATGTTGTCAACAGAGGTAATATGCCAGGAAGCACAAGAACTCTTTGACCATAAGGTTTGAAGGGATTTCCCCACCCCAAAAACCTACCTAAATACAGTGTTTATACACATATGCAGTACTATACATACAAAAAAGGTAAAATGAAACAACTCCAAAAAAAGTACAATGCTTCAACATAAAAATATTATTTTGCATGCATGTATTTTGTGATTGTTTAAATAACTGTTACAAATTTGGATCAAATCTATGGAAAATAAGGATAAAAAGGCAAGAGAAAATTCTTATAGTGACTACTGTACGTTGTGTTCCATTTTTCTCTTTTTTTTTCCTCTAATCTTTTCTACTCCATCTACTCTGTGGTAAAAATGAGCAAGTTTTCTTATAACAATAACCACTGTATGGAATTTCTGGTTTCAACCTTTGCCTGCTTTAGAGGCCCACAGCAATCAACATGATAATCCAAAGCCAGTATATTTCAAGCATGTATAAAATACTGCTGATTAACAAGAAATCTGATCTACGTAATTTAAAGAAAAAAAAATGAGATTCTATTTATTTGGTCAAAATCATAGTTATCTTTCTAAAAACAACAAAAGTGTCCTTCAGTTATTAAAAAAAAAAAACAGGAAAACAAATTTTATTAGTAAATAATAAAAACAATTTGAAAGTTGAAAGTGACTTACTGATGTAGTATTCTTGCACAATGCTTGTATAACCATATATGGCAGAGTATCCAAAAATGATTATCATAACCACATCTCTGCTGTCCAGTTCTACTATATGTGCTGAATGACCCTCCACAGCATATTGCTGGCCATGTACAAGTACCGCAGGAGTTCTGGTACTCCATGCTTGACTGTGTATGTTGAAAATCCACAACTCATCAGTAACATTCCCATTATTTGTTTCAATTTTGCCTCCATACATGTAGATGTCCTCCTGTAAAAATTGGAAGGGAGAGGAGAGAGGGAGAAATGCTGGATTATAGAAACAGATAACATTTGAACCGCATAATCCTGCGCTATATATTTCATAACTGAAAAATCTGATATAAATCTTCACATTTAACTGACACTTCGTTAATCAGCTCAGTATCAAGACTTAATCCCAGATAATGATATTTAAACTAAAGCAACAATGATGATAAGGAGACTACTTCACAGAAAAATAAATCCAACCATGAAAATGAATCTCAACCAGATTACTACTAGCAGAAAAACTTTAATTACCTGGCTCTTCTAATTCATAATGCAGCTTTCTATTAAAAAAAAATGAATAAAAAGGATTTTATATTGTTTCCTTACGAACAGCTAACAAAGCTAAACCTCACAACCAGAGCTTAAAGAAAAGGGACAATGTGTGTACAGCACCCTCTTAGGTGCATTTGCTAACATCAAATTCCATAGGGCAGTAGTACCCTGAGATCTTCTAAGGGGAGGCAAAACAGATTTTGCTGTCTTCATGGACCACGTATCTCAAACAGCAATGCCATATGATAACTAAAGAATGATTTACTTAAATATCGAAAGCCGACTTTGCTATGTAAGCTCAAACTTCCCCCAGAGGAGTAAATCAAGGCATAGAAAGGAATAAAATTATGGAATGAATTCAAACTTGTTGACCTCAGAAATTGGCACATTGTTCAGGGACAGATTATCCTCAGTGGAAAAGACTACCTCTACCTCTGAGAACGATACTTGATGCATCTTTGTTAGGACACATCAGGTCCACAAACACTCTGCACCCCACTCATATCACGTTTGTAGAGATGGCAGTTGTCTTCTATATATTGAAATAATCTAGGGTTTACCCCTAGAATACAGCCTAGAATTCAATCTTTTCTGGTTAAAAAAAAACAAAAAAGAAGCTGCAGGTTTACCGCAGTTAGCAAAGTTTTACTTGGCATGGACTACTGGGCCCCAGAAAAAAAGAAGATAAAGAAACTGTTTAATATGTGTCTGAGCCAACCATGGGCAAATATCAATCTTAACTATACAAGGAGCCAATGGGATCTAAGTAGAAATGTAAAGTGCACGCAATTTGCGTCATGCACTTCAGGAAAAATGAACTAAAAACGGTAGACAATAGACAATATACATAATCAGCAAAAGAACAGTCTTTTTTAGTCCAGCAAATAAAAGGCTTCAGGGGGTTATGATGCTGTTTATATACCTGTGGTGGTTGGCCAACATCAGTGAAGGAGAAGAGCTAATTAAAATAGCAGACACTGCTCGTACCAGAATAAAATGTATATAAGGTCATAAATACATATTAGAAAATTAATTTGAAGTTTCCAGTTCTCAGAGAAATTAGAATCTGGAACAACTGGCCAATCAAAATAGCCAGGGAGAGAAACTTAACCTCTTTAGAGATAAGGCTTGATATATTTTTTGAAAGGAGCTGTATGATATGGTGCCTCAAGTAGTTTGACATTCTTAATAATTTGAGATATCAAGGAAGAGAGGGCTCCTACAATGGCAGGATTCTGTGTCTCAATGCTTCAAGGTATTTCAGCAAGTCAATGAATGTTGAACGTCCTCAGATTAAGTTTGAAAAGCAATCATGTTTTCTCCAAGCAGAGCAAATAAATCAGCATTTCTCAGACTATAATCTGCAGAGATGAGCATTTATACTTTCAGGCAACTGACACTGATAGTCATCTGTTCTAAATTAATGCGCTCTAAGGAACCACAAAGCAATTCTTTAACTGAGAGATCACTGAGACACCATCCACTTTCACAGATGCATAGATTCTAGGACGACATGAAAAATTTCCCCATCCCTCTGATAGAGATGAAAATTAGTAAATGATCAACTAAACTGTTTGACAAGTATTGAAGAGCACAAACAAATTTCCGCAAGATCTTCACCACTTCATTTGAAGCAGGTAAGCCTTCCTTGACTTGGAATTTAAAGTTACTCCTATGCAGTGATACTTTCTGTTAGAGACTAGTATGAACTTTTCTTTGAACTGAGGCTGAATGAGCCAAAGATATTTACATTCTGCAACAGAATTTGTAGCCAATTCTGAGAGAGCCCCCCAGTTCATCCAGTCATGCAGGACTACATATATCTGGAAAGTCTTTTCCTATAGAACATAACATCAGTTCAAAGAACTTGGAGAAGATCCACAGATTGTGTAAGGGCGCACTGAGTATGCCTTAAGAAATTGTGTTTGTTGGATGAAAACGCTAAACAAGTCTATGTGTTTCAAAGGATAACAAAGTCTAAGTTAAACATCCAGAGTTAAAATATTAAATAACATTACTGAGATAGCTATTTATGCATCTATGTACGTATTTATTTATTTCAACAATTATCAAACAGCAAAAGGTGAAAACTTTTCTCTTAGAATTTTCAGCAGCACTTTTTCCATTGCTGCCAGCTACAGAAGGAGCTACTGTTGGTCTCATTCTCCTCATGAAAAAGTTCCCTGAAAAGGCCAGAGAGAGAGAGAGGATACATTAAAAAAGTAAACCTCTCAAGAATCAAATCAGCTGACTTGATGCCAGATTTAAGTTTCTCCAAAAAGAAACTGGTAGGTGCCTACCTGTTCTTCCAAGATGCCAATAATCCCACCAAATTTTTCCACCAAATTTTTTTAACTGTGCCCATCATAAGAGAGTTGAGGTTAATCTCAAAGACTAACCCTTCCCCCTTCAGAAAGTGTTTCTGAGAATACTATAATCACTTTGTCCTGCTATCATGTTATGTTATCATATCAACTGACATATATAATCCCAACAAAATATGCTTTTAACAATGCATTGTCTAATAGTGACCTAAGCCACTACTAAAAATTTTGTTGCTTTTAAAGGACAAATTTCCAGAATAGCTACAAAGACATCTTCCACAACATCAGTGATAGTGGTCATACCATAATGGTCATTGCTGTCACAGGTAACGACTCAAGATATACTTGGAATGCTGTTCTAGCAGTACCTGTCTGTCAGCCAAGCTGTATTTTAGCTCCTCCTGGTCCTTCTTGAGAAGTCCTTCTCTACGGCTTTGCCCTATAACAGGGAGTCTTATTTTGAAATATGCCCTCAATTATTAGTAAGTATTAATTAGAAGGATGAAGGAAACTGTTTTAGTTTGGTTTTTTGCCAAAATAAGATGCAATTCCTTTGGATGTTGTCATCTTTCATTAGTTGTCGCTGACAAAGGCAAAATTAATTGCCACTTGACAACTCTTCTTGTTCTGAAGTAGACTGTGAAGTATAATCAGAGCGCAATTTCAGTCAGGCAGCTAAAGCTTGGTCTGGAGACTACTAAAATATCAACTTCTTTATATGTTCTGACCCTACAGGAAAGAGCAATGCCAAGGCAGATCAAATTTGTACGTGGTGAGGGAGAAGCAAGCATACTGAATAAGATCATCCCATTCCTTTTTGTGGCAAAGGATTTGAAGGTGTATCAACATTTGACCCATTTCCAGCTGGAATAACGCCTGATGAAATGAATCAAAGTCAACCAGTGAACCTGCTTCCTTCCTTTGCCTAATCTTTTCTTTAGCCAGACAAATTTGGCCAGTATCTGGCAAAATTCATACTTCGTAACAAGAAGAGACATAGACTATTAACCACCTAACTTTGTTCAGTAATAGATATGCACGTAATAGTATGCTACAATTAAATTGTCCCGCAATAAAACTTACTATTAAGAAGACATGGCTCGTGTCAGCACTAATGAATTGATTGATGTTGTCTACAATCACTGTATCAAGACATACTTTGTATGGTAACTTTTACAGTACTTTTCCAGTCCCGTCATTCTTACTGAGAAACAATGTGACAATGTGAACTAGGTTTTAGGTTGTTTGCCAGAGTGTAAACAGACAGGCTTAATTTTTTTTTCTCAGAGATTCAAATTCAGTGCGCCCTGCCCTGCCTTACATACATGTCTTGGAAAGGAGCTACATGTTCTGCTACACTGAGGACCCCTGCTTTCCCCTTATATTTAAAAGGCATCTAAAACTCCTGTCCTGTCTTGAGTCCTGCAGAGAGCATAGTACTGCTTTAGTTCAGCTCTCTCACATTCTTCTGATTTCTAAGGCTATGCACTCAGAACCTCCTGAAGATTATGCCCCCACAACAATATCACCTAGCTCTTGCATAGTAATTTTAATCAACAGACTTCAAAGAGCTTCACAAAGGAGCCTTTTACAGTGAGAAAAACTGAAGCAAGGAAGTTATCCAGCAGATAACCAAAAGACCAAGTAAAAGCACCCACTTGTCTGAAAAGTCCTAGTGAACACACTATATAGCAGACAAGGCAACTCTTCCACATACTTCACATTAAATCCCAAACACCCAAAACCATAACTTACTTTGACCTTGGATGGGGTCTCTTACCAACTCCCTACGTTACTGTTAAAAATGATTTAATATTTAATATATATACAGTAATTCAAGATTTCCCTGAAACGTACCATGTCTTTATTCTTTTAGATCTTGCAAACGTGCTTTTTTTCCCTAAAGAACAATACTTATCAGCTACTCTCACTGCACCTGGAAAATCTACATTGTTATCTAAAATTCTGCCCACATTCCAAAAAAGTCTTATCTAGCAGCTCCTACAAAAAAGTGTAAGGAAATGCAATAAGGCGTTTAGTTTATAATCTGTTTCTAATGAACTGGAAGTAAATTAATCATATTAAAATAACCATATAATTTTCCTTTTGTATTTCTTAACTGTATCACGGCTATATGAAAAAGCATATCTACTAGAAGGAAACCAGTTTTTTGTGTTAATTCTTGCATATATCTAATCTATACCTGAAAATAAGGCCGAAGACTTGCCACTCACAAATCACATGAACATCTGTCATCTACAAGAAACAAGACTGGAGAAAATAAAGAATCATTCAACCCATAAATTAGATTCCAGAAAAACAACAGGAGAAATCACAAAAGGAAGAAATTAGGCTTTGCACCACTTTGGGGGCATTTCAAGGGGAAAAATAAACACATAAACAAACAAACATGAAAAAGCTGATTAAGTGATAACTTGAAATTTTTTTCTAATGTGAAGAAAAACTGATTTATTGCCAGTTAATTGATACTCAAACTCATTCCCTTTGACAAAAGAAGCAAAGCCTTAGAAGATTCCCAACTTTAACTCAAAGTTATAAGAACAGAACTTTATTTTAGTACATAAACTACAGAAGCAACATAGGAAAACACAAGAAAAAAATTTCTAACAAGCTCTCTCTCTTAATTCCTATCTGAAATAACAGCAGGGCAAAGGGATTTTTGAGTCTCTTCCTAAAATGTTTGGAGGTCCAGTTATTAAATGCTGGGAATTGTTATTAAAACCAATCCAACCTCATATTTGGCAGTCTGTCCAAAATATGAATTGGACAAGATTTAACATTAAATAAGATTATGATGGCTTAAAAAAGGAACCTTATTTCTCCTACTATAATTATCAATGTTTGCCTTGCCTAGACTGTACCTATATATTAGTATATAAATCAGTTTTATTTACATATATTAACAAGACTAAAAATTCATAAGCACTTCTGTTCTTTATGCTTACCTCAAATTTCTAAAAGTTTGGTCAAACCTGTACTTGATTCAAAAACATCTGGAATTTTTCCTCAAACTAAATGTAAGTATGCAGTTACAATACAAAAATAACAAATTAGATAATGTCGTAAGTATTTATAGATAGATAGTACAATTATATAATCTAATAAGTATTAATCAGCATTTATAATAAATACTTGACAAACATCTACAACACGTACATGATGCCAGCTGCCCTTAATATTTCAAATAAGTACAGAAAAGATTCAGTAAATCATCCTGCTCCTATACCTCCAGCTGCCTCATATCTTCGATAGAAACAAGAACTTAATACGTGGTATAATTTCACTATCTGCAAGTTAAGACAAAGCCTGTTCAACACAATGAAAAAGTAGCTTATGCAGAAACTTAAGGACTATACATGAAGATAAAACATAAAGCAACATCTTCCCACGAGAAATTACCTTGTTGTATATTCCTTGTTCCTTCGTTCTTTTGGTTTTGGTGGACAACAACCACCACCACCAACCACACCTCAATGACACACCCTTTCTGCAAGTTTAATAGCAGTTTTCTATGAAGTTATAATGAAAACCATCTTCCCAGGAATTATTTGCCTCATACAATTTCCTTTACTCCTCTGTACAGCAGGGGGATAATTAGATAAATGTAGATAACTGAATTTAATCTGTCAACACTTAATATTTTGTGTCACATCTTCTGCAACTTTTGACATTGCAAAGTTTAAGAGCCCTATATAAGCATATGAATATTTTTGACCAACAGCTTGGCTCTAACATGGACAGAAGGCCCAACCATGTAAAAATTACCCATACTCACTAGAGAAGGAAAGTCAAGTATACAGTGAAAGTATATTTTTAAATACTTAAAGGAAATGTCGAATATGTTAAGACTGCACAGAATCGTCAACGTATTTCCTAAATTAATCTGTTTGAACTGCTACAGTAAGGACTGAATACAGTGCAGAATATGTATAAATAACAAAAAAGGAGAAACGTGCATTTAAAATTATTAAAGTAGTAAGTTTCTTCATTTGGAAAAACAAATACCAACCTAATTTATGAAAAATTATAGTAGTTCAGCCACTGTACTCCACATAAAAAAAAACAAGAATTATTTTAACTGGCAATTATGTACACACATGTTAATTCAGACACTAAATATATTTATGTGCAAGGTGACTACACATTCAAATGTTGGCAGAATAACACTCTTCAATTCTACCTAGCTTCCCTTGTCTAGAGCCCGAATTTTTCCTCTTTGATAATCTCTAAGGAACAGTAAAATAAAAAATGAAGGAGGAGGAAAAATTAAACTAATATCTACTGCATAATTACACTCTATTTGTGCAAAAAAAAAAACCCTTCATGTTTTACATATTTCCTTCAGTATATGAACTGAGAATTTTTGCATCAAATCTTTTTGTCAAAAATTAAAGTCTACAGTACCTTAAAGTTTTGGAACTATTAATATAAAAGTCTTTATAAGCACATACAGAACATAGAATTATTAGTTTGATGTGAGAAGATAAGAATATTTATAAAACATAGTACCTTGAATTTCTCAAGATGAATTACATGATTAAAATACAAAAACTTGGCTCCTTTCCCATATTTCAGCAGAATGGCTCAAATGATAACTCTAAAAAGCAACTGATCCTTTTCAAGAAAAGGATCATACTGGTGTCCACAGGGCTCAAACACTGACTGTATGCTGCAGCCAATAAGCTACAGTAGATACTAAATTTCTCCAGGACAAATTATCAGGCAAGATACTGTAACCTGGTATTTCACTTTAGTGTTTGCCATCAGGAACCTCAGGAACAGATAGATTAGAATAGATTCCTCATTTTGCCTGTGGAATTCAATTCCCTCACTTAAATTGTTTCAGTAACAAAGACTGCAATTCCTATTTCAGACTTGCTCCTTCGTACTGTAGCTTCATGAATTCTGTTGAGCTACAATTTCTCATCATCCTTCAGGAAGAGAAGCCAAAAATGAGATACCTAGACATTTCACAAACATTCTCAAAATTTTGCATAAATACAAATAAATACCTATGTTAACTAAAATTTAGCATCTCTGACTCTTACTTGAGTCTTCATGCCATTCCTTTCCCCTCTATAAGACCAACTAGTTGAATTTTAGAAAGTCAAAAAAAGAAACAAAAATAAAAAAACTTCACATTTCACTACTTTTCCTCACAATACTTCATCTATTTAATCAGACTAGGTTCCTATGGCTGAAGCAATAGGACTTGCCGCCCAGTTAAAGCAATTTTTGTGATATATGCAGAGAGTAGTTCTCATGAACTCCTGAGTAAATACAATGAGCAAACAAACAAAAGCATTAAGATACAGCCTTGTGAATGATACCATACACACATTCTCAATCAGCGTAAATGTTGTTTGGTATCCCTGATAAACACCAAGAATCCTCATTTTACAGACACTATAACAGAGGACCACACTAATCCAGCACAACTGGATTCTATTCAAAGTATAAAGCCAGTTTTTAAATCGTATCAAGTGTTTCTTGGCAGTAATTAGCAACAGCAGGTAGTGACAGGGAGAAGCCATTTCTGATGACAGTCTCAGCTCCTTTTGTCTCTCAATTCCTCCAAGAAAACCACGATGAAAATTTTTCATTGATAGACCAGGATGACAGCTTTAGAATACCTAGAGAACTTGCAGCATTTGGTGAAACTTTCAAATCAGATAATACTAAATTGGCATTACAACGATAAGCCAATTGTAAACTCTCCTATTGTTCCATGTACTACAGTAAGACTAGAAATTATCATACGTTAACATAAGACTTGAGGAAACCATCTGACAATAACTCCTCCACTACAAATGAGTTCTTGCATTTAATATGTAGCACCGGGGCTAGGACCGTCCAAAACCTCCTCCTTTCCCCCGACCACTAACTTCTTTAATATGTTAACACCATCAGGAATATTTCTTTTTTCTATCAAAAGTACAAAAATGAATAATCAACATCCCCACTTGATCCCATAATCCTCCCACCAGATCAGAGTAGACAGAATGGAAAGCAGACCTCACTCCTCATTGTAATTACATCTTCTTCAGAAAAAGGTCTTCCTCCCCTGTCTGCCTTATTATTCTTAGCTTATTGTGGAACTATATGTGCACTGAATAAGAACCTGAGTAAGACACACGCTGAGTTACAAAAGGAGCGTATTATAACCCAAGCTTCCAAACAGGACCCGATTCAAGTTCAAGACAGTACATATTGCAGCAGTTTATATCTCAGATGGCATAGCTCATCAACAGCCGTCGCACTTTACCTCTTTATTTCCACTGATTTCAAAATTGTTTCTGGCTGTAGTTAAAGGTATTACTTCATCAAAGAAGGATTCATTTCAGTCTGTTTCTATATATCGTAAAAGCCAGTAATTTTCTCCTGGACTACAGTGGTGTTCAAAATATAAGACAGGAAAACATTTAACTTCCTATCTAGTCACTGTTTAGCAAAGCTATATGTAAGAACTTTAAAAACCTCGGAAGCCATTTCCTCCAGTCTCTTAATAATCTATTTCTATGAATTCTTTCAAAGTATGTCGATATTTTTTGGTATTAAGATGCCTGGAACCACATATAATGTTTGAGATATGGGAGAACCAATGGCTAACAGAGATAGCTAACACCTTTCCAATAACCAGTTTGAAGAGGCATTGAAGGTAATACTATATAACAGTTGGTCTGAAAGTAAGAACACCTTTATATCTCTCCTCTCCTCTATAAATGCATAAAAAAGTCTTAGTCACTTGTTATAACTATACATCAGTGGGAGTCTTCTGATCTTTTTTTCTTCAGAATAAAGAAGTACAGTACTTCAATTTTAACTAAAGAAGCTTTCTGAGGGAAATGGGCACAGTAACTTATTTCATTCTCCACAGAGTCAATTATATAGCTTCAATTTACCTTGCACCACAATCAGGCAATACTAGCTCTATGCACTCACTCTGGTCTTGCGAAAGGCTTTGAAATCTCAGGAGCTCAAGTCCAAAACTTAATCTAATTTCTTCTCTGTGGATATTTTTGTTCTCAACTAAAAAGAAAGCGTTACACAACGACTAGTATACAGCATAAAACACAGCTCAAAACTGCCATCTCTAGGTATCATATGATGCTCTGCTGCTCTTCATAATAAACTATTTTTCAGTTTTTCAAGAGATGGAGCATCTGAAAAGACAAATATCAGACTTTATCCTAATAATGTAACCTAAGAACTTATTTTAAAAGCGTGTACGTTTTCAACTTGAAAGTTCTTCTTCTTATATGATCAGCTCCTTTTAGCCCCTGCAGTTTTTGCCATCTGACAGAATCACTAGTATAAGTAACATATTACTTAATTATTTATTTTACATGATGGCCCTGTGTTCATTATTAGCGGATTCTAATTACTAATTAACGTGTTCCTTACACAACAGCAATGCATCCTTAACTACACCCTTGCTTGTAACTTTCATTAATATTAACGAGTTGCATTTCCTCACTGAGGTCCAAAAAGACCTCTGGAGAATTGACATAAGTCCATTATAATTTATATTTGCTGGTTAAAATGTCTCTAAAATGCCATTAGTCTGGAATATCTCAGAAAATTATTAGAACTGTCAAATAAAAAAGGTTAAATTATTTTGTTAGTCTATATTCTGAACTGCTAAATGACACATTACTTGAATGTTTCCCAGATAAAAGGTCCCAAGAACTGTAATAACCAACAATACCAGTCAGAAAGTTCTAACCTCTCAAAAAACACACAAAACATATAGTAATGAACCAGAGAACTGATGAGAAGAAAAGTATTTTTGAGCTGATGCTGGGCCATGCAGAGAATCTAGTTCTACCCAACTGCTGAAAAACAGCTCTATAATGTTAATTATAAAACGTTTAGATTTAACACTCCTGGAAGACCAAAAGACACTAAAAGAAAAAAAAAAAAAAAACACCCACATCCTACAATTCTACTTGACTTCAAAAAGGAATACTAAATATAAATAAGACTGCTCATAAAATGAAGCTAAAAAAAGTAAAGCTAAAAGGATAAAATCTTTAATGACAGCATGGAGACATTTTAGGGATGTTGCTCAGATCACATGAATACTTCCTATTATTAAAAAAAAAAAAAAAACACACAAAATTTCCCCATCAGTAATACCAAAATAAATCAAGCTCAATTTAAGAAGAGGATAATGGAAACTGTTAGAACGAAGAAGAAATACTTCAAAATAAAGGTTCATAAACTCCAGCAGATTAAATTGTGAAGGTGTATAAAGTAAGCCGAGAAACAGTTTGATAAGCTACTTGCAAAACGTATACAAACTACTAATAAAGCATTTTTCAAACACATTAGAAATACAGCTAGCTAACTAACTCGTGGTGCCAACAGACAGTTTGAAGGAGCACTCTGAGAAGATTAGGCCACAGCAATACAACAAAGTTAATTTTTGCATTTTTAGTTCTTTGTGGTAGACCTCACACATATTTCCACAGCAGATCTTTCTTAACATAGAAGGCATTGCAGAAGTATTTACATTCTAGTACCAATAGAATAATAAGGATATAAAAAAAAAGACAAAATAATCAGCAACATACCCCCCCCTTAAAATGTGTTTGTACCAAAAAACCGCTACCAGTTTTTAAAATGGAATCAAAGAGAGACTGGAGAAACTACAAACCAGTAAACCTTATTTGTATCTCATGTACAAAGTTATAAAACTTAGAATTAGTCAGAACTAGTGAACCCATGAAAACTTAAAACACACTGGGGAAAAGTCAAACAGCTTTTGAAAAGGGAAGTTACACCTCACAAATACTGGAGTTTCCTGAAACAATCAAAGGTCTGGTTTGATACCTGGAGCTTTCAAAAGTGCTTGACAACCTTTTTCATCTCCTAAAGAAACTAAGCTGCTCTTGGACAAACAAAGCAAATATCACATGGCTAAATAACTGGATAACTAAATGAAGTCTAGGAAAAAATGGTCACGTCTTACAGTGAAGAGAGGCCGTCAATGGAGTCCCAAAGAGATTTATAATTAGGACTCATTTGTTCAGCATACTCAAAAACAATCTGTAACTGGTATGAGCAGATAAATGACATGGTTTGTAGACAATACTAAGCTACTCAAGATAGCTAAGAATGACCAACAGCAAATAATTCCAAAACAATCCCGTAATACTGAATAACTGCATAATAAAAGGACAAATAAAAGGATCAATAAAAGTTCAAATTGATAAGCATGAAGTGATGCACACTGGAATAAGATAATTTTAACTTTGTACATATGGCTTTGTATAGACTGGAATGAGAACTTGAGGTTATAATTGACAGTTCTGTGAAAATACTAGTTTGAAGCTCAATATCACATTTTTAAAAAAGCGAAAATACTGCTAACAATTATTAGGAAAAGCTTAGTCCATGAAATCTATGACATAATTATGTTATTATGTTAAATCCCTGTTGTACCAGTACCTCAAACACTGTGATTCCCTGCATCTCAAAAGGGATATCATAGAACTGGAAAAGGTAGAAGCAGTGAGATAACTGTTATCAAAGATATCAAACAGCTTTCTTCTGCAGGATTATTAAAAAGACAAGGAATTTTCTACCCCCCCAAAAAAGAGATGACACAGAGGATATGATGGACTTGCACAAAATCATGGGCAATAGAGAAAAAAATGAATAGAAAGTAGTGTAAGAATTAGGGAATTTCAAAATTAAACCAGGAAGTAGCAGTTTCCTAAAAGGTGATATTTCCTCACACAATACCCTGGAATTCTTAGGCATAGGATGACACAGATGCTAAAAATAGGCTGAAATAGTCAACAGGAGGCCAAAGATCTTTCCACGAAAAGATACTACCCTAGCTTAGAAATCCCATTTGCAGAATGGGAGAGCATTCTGAGGAAGCTTCTTAATATCACTGTCACATTTTCTTATATTCTTCTCTAGGCAGTCACTGTTAGCCACTCTTCAAGAAACGTTACTAGGCTAGATGGACATTCTGGTCTGACTTTACAGTAGAGTCTTCTTTGTTCTTCCCTACTGAAGGTATATTATGCAACCAACTGAAAATTCCACTTCCTGAAACAAGATTAACACTAGCCAAATATTAACTAATTAATAAAATGCAACTGTTTTCATAAAGGTCAGTCCTGTCTTTCTATTCTATCAGTATAAAAATCCCTTTTTAAAGTTAAAGAAATAAGCCTTTGAAAGTGCCCTCAACAAAGTAGCTTAGCAGACTACATATTATCTGTAGAAGCAAGACTATCAGTCTGGGGCTGTTGATGGACCCTGTCACATCAGCACCCAGCTCTGCCTGCTAGGTTCAGACCCTGTGGGGCAGCACCTGCCAGTGAGGGCCCTCTCAGCTGCATGATTTTAATTTCCATCAACTTCAAGATGGACGAGAGGCAACAACAATAAGACAAGATAGAAACAGAAACACCAGAGACGACAACACTGTTTTGTATGGCTGCAAAGTTAAATAAGAAAACAAGATGATGACAAAAATAAGGAAAATAAACATGCTACCCTAATTCTTGGATCATTTTCCGCATTAAGGGCTTGTGCATATACCGAAAATACCATACAAATCAGCTAGCTGTTATTTACAGTTGTTTCAATTTTATGTTTTTAATTAGCTGATCAAATAAATACACATACAACCTGTCAAACATGAGGCACTGTAAACTCAATGGCACACGGATGAACTACCTAACCCTCCCTGCAGGACAACCACAGGCTAAATGCATGCATTAAAAATGAGTCGCCTGTAATTATAAATTAACTTCAGAATTGCCAATAGCATCCTAGATGTATTATTTGAAAACAGCAACACACTGAATTATTTCACTGTTTTACTGCCACAATTATTTTTATATTTTGCAGCAAAGAATAGCAATAGTTTTCATGAAGCTCATGAGGTTACCGGTTAATATCACATCTACATCAGTATTACTCATATTTTAACTTTCTTCTATTATAGGAAAATTACAACTAGAAAGTAAGAAAATTAATGAAGAATCTATAGAAAAATATGAAAATATAAAAGTTTCCATTAAGTTGCAGAATAGATGCTACCTCCCTACCAAGATTAGTGTTTCCCTAAGCAGTATCAAAAAGGACATCACAAAGGAGAAATCACTTACTTCAACACCATTTGGAATGAACTGTAGTTAAAAGTGTATCCACCAATCACCCACATAAATTTTCCATGTAGAACTGCCTTATGGGAAGCCCGGCCCACAGAAGGGCTGAATGGTTTTACGTTTGGTAGAATCCAGTAAGACTCCGTGGAAGGGACATTCAAAGAACAATCCGGACCTGTTTTACAAACAAATGTGCAATTTGTACAATCTGTTACACAAAGATGTTAAAGCCAATAAAAGAGAAATAAGGGAGGCTTAATTACAGATGTCAGGATTGCTCATTTTGATAAAATACAATAGAGACTTTTATGTTTAACAGATGCTCAGTGAAAAAAGTTTGACAACACGGGATGTCAGTGAAATTGAAAATGTTAAGACTGCTCAAATAATAATGATACATTTCTGCATTCTTCTCAGAAAACACACCGTACAAGTCACAAATTGAAAGAAAGGCATAAGGCACCACGTTTTCAGATGCTGTATAGCTCTAAAACGCGTAGCAAAATGTACACTGCACGTTACTTCTGGAGAAAAACTATATTGCATTTGAACTAACCAGAGTACGTTTATATCAAAGTATATGACATTACAGTAAAATTACATTACAACATAGATTACAGTATATTAAATCTTGAGAATCAAAATTTGGTCTTTGTCAATGCAATACTGCATTGGCTTTCAAGAAGAAAATGCAGTGTAAACTACTTTACAAATAGAAGGATTTTGAATGTTAAAATTTTATAAAATTTGTAGAACATTCTACAAAGTTACTAAGACCAACAACTACATATTATTTTGGAATATATTTTTAGTCATTTATTTCTTGCCAAATCAGCAAAAGTCAGTGAAATGTGTCTTTTTTAATTATAATTTTATTAAAATCATGAGAAGCGGAAATATTTATTTTTTCATTTGGTCTATAATAATCAAAATGTGATCTCTTTATTATTAGTTTGCACTCTGTATGTTAAAAAGAACTTTACAACTGTAGTATTTCAATAACTGAATATATTTAGAACTTTGCTAAAAAAGGCAGTATATGCACTACTTGCCTCTTGTCAGTGACCATATAACATTACGGACTGGCTTTATTTCTGGATGGGAAACACTGAATTTTTTAGGACACCAATGTGCTCTAGTTTTAGCATTAGTTCACATGGAACAGAAATCTTTATCATTAGTGATGGCAGATAGGTATTGTACGATTGCTAAATTACTCGATGCTTTTACAGTAAGCAATATATGTTCCTCTCAGTCTGCCTAGCTGTAATAAATCCTGTACTCAAGCCACTTGACACTACTGAAAATTATAGTTGTTGAAGTCAGGCTGGCACTGAGCACAGCTTCAAGAACAGAATAGTAGTGCGGGCATGCGCACACACACACACGCATGCACACAAAACTAGTGTGCATACAATGCAAAGCAGGCAACAATTTAAGGATTTACTTCAATCAGAGGCATATAGGGTTAGGGAGAAACTGTAGGAATTCTCAGTTTCTTAAGGAAAAAATGCTGTCTTAACACCCAATTCTATTTTCTCTCACAACATTTTGGCACAATAGTGTAATGCTACAGGAGTAACAAGAGCCAGAAAACCCACTACGGTTCTACTCAACATAAAAGAAGCAGTCATGTAAAAGTGAGGAATAAAATAATTGCAAGGGATAAAACAATTTAAAAAGACGCTAAAAGGGGCAAATGAGAGAACTGGATTCTTACTAATGCATGCATGCATGCAGGTTACTGAGGACAGTATCAGGGAGATACAGTGCCCATGCATACCACCTGTTGAGAAACGCCCAAGTAAAGATAAGATGAAGCTAGCATGGCTAAACAGCAATGCTTTCTTAAGGATTCTAAGATTTCTATTCTGGATAGACCATCAAAAATTCGAATGAAAAGTCAGGTTGTAATCCTGACAAAAATTTTAAGCATTGTAAAATCCAAAGAAAACACACACTTCAAAAGTTCAAAACAGCCTCTTTCTCTCTTATTCACTTCTATAAGACTTTTGTTGCATCTCATCTCACAGCAAGGTCTTGAGTAATCTAGCACGACAACATTGATAAAGGTATGGCAGCACACTACCTGAAATCTCCATTTTTATTTTAGGAATGTACATTAAAGGATTATTTCACAGGAACACTGGCTTATTCATGTAAATTGATGTTATGCCTGCTCTTTATGTACAAATAAAGCAATCACCTACAACATATGCAAGTACATAATTTATATCTGTGTACTGTATGAGGAACCTTTCCTTTACATGAATAAACATTGTGCTCTCTTGTGCATAAATATATTTCAATAAAACAATGTACTGTGATTTTGAAAGCTATACCAAAAAAACTGCCGCTTTTCTTGCTCAGCTTCTAATCCATATCAATGTACATTTTATACATTTCAAAGTATTCTAAATGTATTCAATCTTCTTGTGTTGCAAGTTTTGACCTGAAGCCCATTTTTTCATTTATATTTTAAACCGTGGTTCATAAGAGAAAAGCAGAATGAGGTGATATGTCTCTATACTATCAAAATCTAGCTTCAGCCCTGCAAAAAACATTTATTTCTTAAAACAAATCAAACTGACATTTTAGTATAAGTAATTTATATAAAGTTCTTAACTATAAAACAAATTATCCTCAGTAAAAAAAGGATTTTTCCAATGTATAAAATTGGTTTTTACAGTTTTGAACTTGTTACAGTGACTCCTTATACACAATGACCACGCAGATCATTTGTACATAACCATTTGTCAGCTTTACAGAAGAATGATGTCTGCTTGTATCCAAATAACCTTTTATTCCTTAAATGATGGAGACTCTCAATTATCATCTTTTGTTATATATTTCTGCGCAGAAAAGATGAATGATATTTGAATGAAGTCTAATGAAAGTATGAACAACGCAGGATATTATTCTTTAAGTATTAATATAGGAACAGTAATAGAATTGTAACCTCAACAAGATTCTGGTTTGATAAATCACTGCAGGGAATACTTCATTTAAATCTAAAATTGCTTAAAAATAAACAGCTGATTAAGTACTCTTTGAGTAATGAAGAACTTAAAAATATGAAATTCAGCTTAGTGGAATGAGCACCTCCAGTCAGAAAATGAAAACGTATTTTACCTCTTGTTACCATTCTTGCAGAGAAATCTAGTGGTCAAAAGTGCCCCCTAGTGGCAGAAAATGAATAAAACACACAAACTACCCGCCAATAGATTTGAGATTTTCATTTTTGGAGACACAGTACCCCAAAAATTCAAAGAGCAAATCCAAAAATATCATGCCTGTGTACACTACGATTAGATGTCATTGGAAGTATTAAAATGAGGACAACCAAGAAGTTTTAACAGTAAGTTAACAATGCAAAAAAATCTTAACTATTTTTTTAACCTGATCAGTGACTGAAAGAATGTCACAGATAAATTTCTTATACCTTCAGCACTTCACTGTTGGTAGGTCTACACTAAATGACAGGAACGGTGAGAGAGGGAGAAGAAACACTGTTCACCCAGGCCTGTTCCGACATGAGTCAGGACACACTCTGAGGGCACACCCCTGAACTCAGGAGCTTGAAAGCACCAAGTACTACACTGTTTTTAAAGAGCATGTAATATCTGAGCATTATGTACATGTGCTCTAAAGTGACATAAGTTGACATCACCACAAGAAGCAGCACCCCTGGCCTCCCTCTACTCCCTGCTCTTAGTCTTCATCACTACCATCATCAGTTCTCCTGTGGCTGCACAATGAACCAGATGAGGGAACGAATCCAGGCTAAAACTAGCTTGTATTTTTGGCCAAGCTAGCTTTTAGTTTGGATGTGTTCCTCACCTGTTTCACCGTGTAGACATGTAAATGGTTCTACCAACACCTGAGGAAGACTGAGTGGCCAGAATTGCCTCTTTTGGTGAGAGCGTAAAGCATTCACTGAATTATCACAGTACGTATCAATCTGTATAAACAAAGAAGATATAACTGAACAAAATAAAGCAACAGAACAACATGGACTTCTACTGAAATATCATTTAAAGAGGAGATGCTTTAGCGTGGCTATAGCCTTATATTGACAAGGTAAACATAGGACTTTGATATCATTTACGTATTTTCCTAACTAAATACATATACTATTAAACATCTCCATTATTTCAGCATAAATACATTTTCTCTTCGGAAACATCACATTCACTAAATACATGCCTTTTGTGCAAAAGACAGCACGATAGCTGCAGAACAAAGATAATAAAACTGTGTTATTTTCTATGAAAATATGGTTTTTCTCCATTTATTTAAGATTGGATTTCTTTCTTACCTTCCTAATGCATCACTCAATCCACAGAAGAAAGAAGAGGTTTTAAAAAAGTCATCAACTTTACAAACCTGATTCGGAAATCAATTACGTTATATTCAAAGGTAGAAAAAAATTCTATAGGTTTAAAATAGCAATTTACTCACACAACACCAGAGAGGGAATCTAATTTCTATTTATTGAAGAGTTTCATGAATTGCCAAAGTAATAATCTGTTCCAGCAGTTCAAGTCAGTCATAAGATCAATTTCCACCTAATGAGAAAACATCATCTATTGTCTTCGACCCTAATCTTTTCCTTAGGGATCACAGGGGAAAGAAGGAAAAAAAAAAAAAAAGAGTTTTGATGTGTTGAATATAAGCTTTAAGGTCCTGTTTTTCATACAAGCTAATCAATGCATTCAAATAAAGTATCTGTTATTATTATGTATTCTATATTTGTTCGTCATCTGAGCATTTGAGTCAGGAATTATTACCTTAACATAATTTTTCAACTACCACAAATACAAACTCATATTACTATTCTAAAGTATCCAATAAAATCTTTGTACGATAATGAATTTTAGATAGTGAAAAACATTTTTGAGAAGACAGAATGTATCTGAATACACTTTCAATAACAATTTTTATTGTTGGAACTTTTACTAAGCAGTAAATCACCTTTCTCACAAGGAAGTGGTAAGGTGGTAACTATAAAAAAAAATAAAATGCTGCTATGTACATTAAAAACTTTAAGAATAACTATTCTTCAAGATATATAGCTTACCAGCATTCCAATAGCGGGTCTATTCACACACTGCCACAAGACCTTTGCAATATCCAAAGAGAATGTAAGTATTTCTTTTCCTCCTGCAAACAAGT